TGCGATCACTACGAAAAATATAATTGGAGAACTTCTCTTGGATGTGATTGTGGTGATCCCCGGAGAACTATGTATCACATCATTTTTGAATGTCCCACGCTGACTCCGGTCAGGGAAAAATTTTTTGAATTTTTAAATCGTAAATTCCCTGACCTTGAGTCAGGGTCGGCTCCAATCTATGATCTCATATTTCCTCCAAATGAGGAAACTATTAGGGAACTTGGTAGTTTCTTTTGTTATAAAAAACAGTTTATTTAGAGTTCCCTACTAAAAATAAAATCAGGAATCGTCATGAATGGTCAGAATTTCTGAACATTCCTGAACAGTCTCACCACTTCTGACATTTTCGAACGTTTCTCACCATTCCTAACCAAATACTTTCCAAGCTCCTCCCACTTTACTCCCACAATTTTCGAAGCTGTGACCATTTCTGAAATTCCTGACCATTTCTGAAATTCTTGACTATTTCTGAAACGTGTGAACACATAACCTATAAAAATTTTGGTACATCTTTCTAATTTTGGTAAAGTCTCATGAAAATTTATATATACATATAAAATCTTTCAAATTTATTTTTTACATTTCAGAATACATTATTCTATTATAAAAATTGTTCTTTTAACTTAACAAAAGTTCTCATTTTTCAAATTGGTATAATTATTGAATTAATTATACAGCAAAAGTAGGTAAATAAATCAAAACATTCGGACCATTCTTTTAAAATTATTTAATATATTTATGTAATGTATATTTATAATATATTAATTTAATATATGTATATTTACTTGTTATTATTTAATATAGTTAATTAATAATAAATTTTGTTTCATAATATTAGTAATTTACTATACCAGTCAGTACTTATTATGAGAAGTATTTGCATTATAATTGAAATACAGTTATATTTAAATTATTATTAATCATTAATAGAATAATTTCTTACTATAATGATTATTAATAATTTAAATTTAAAATTTATAAAAATTTCAATATTGCATTAATAATTCATTATTATTATAAATTATAATTTTAAATTAAATTAATATTAAATACTAAATTCATTTTAAATGCAGATATAATAATAATTATTATTAATCTGTATTCGTATTATAGTTTATGAAACATTCCAAATTGTAAAGTTAAGACTTAATTTATTATTGATTCAATTAATAATGTTAATTTTTATTAATTCACATAACCTATTATGACTAAATTGAAATATAATTAATTAATAAAAATTATTTAACAGTTTATTCTGATTTATTGATAATATTGGTAATTGAATTTTACTATTTTACAGTTGCTCTTTATATAGACAGTTGAATCCAGAAATATGTAAGTCGCTTCGGTAGTCGCAGTCGTTAGGGCAGTTAGTTTAGGCACTAGGTTAGGTGTGGTTACTAGGTTAGGCATGCGTCGAACCCCGACGCATGCGTCGGGGTTCGATCCCCGTAGGGTCCAAATTTTAATTTAATTCCGGGAATTAGTTTCCAGTTGTTCCGTATGTAAACAAACTTATATTAATTAATAAAATATATTTTTTAAAATTAATTTGTTGCAACTTTTTACATATTGTTAAAATAAATAAAACAGAAGTGGCTTAAAAATATGGTCAAAAATGAGATACAAATGGTCTCAAATAGTCACCAATTATGGGCGGGGTCAACAAAGAGGAGCCCTATATTAAAGAACCAGTAGAACCGGGTAGAATCAGGAGCCTACTTGCTTTGAGTAGGTTATTGTCACGTAAGTTCCAATTTCAAACCAGTAGATATGTATTTTCAGCTGGTTTGAATTCGGAATGTCAAGTTCAAAATGAACTGGTTTCAGTTTGAACATTACAGTCAACCGGAAATTCCAAGTAGGTTACATTGTACAATATGAACTTGTTTCAACTTGGATATCGATTCATAATTGGAAATCCAAGGTGGTTACAATTGAACAGATAGTTTTGAAAAAAAATATTTGTGGAAAAAATAATAAAAGATTCTTATGACCATTAATAACTTCATATTCTTAGCACACTCCAAACATACAAACATTTTCATTAAACTGGAAGAATTAAATTAAAACTTGTACCCTATGGGAATCGAACCCCGCACCTATGACCTATCTATCTAAACGCTTAACGACCGCGGCTATCGAATCGACGTGAGAAATATTTTTCGACCTGTCTATATAAACTGCAACTTTGAAAAACGTAAGTTTATGTAAAATATTATACTTTTTGTAAGTACCTATAAAAATACAAGCAGAATTTAAGATATTTATATAGATTTGCAATATATGCTATTATGTTAAAAATATTAATTAATCAAATATTTAATAAGTTTCTGCTCAAATGTCATTTGACCGCGTTGTAATTTTTTGCAAAAATTTGCAAAAAATAACATTGAGCGAAATAAAAAACAGAACATTCATTACAATTAAAATGACTCAACTGTGTTAAAAAAATTCCATTGATTGTGAACTACAGATTTTCATAAAATTACAAAATTCACAAAATTACAAATAGCAATAGTAACAAATTCATAAAAATATCAATTCGAGAAATGCAAATTCGCAAAAATAAAATTTGCAAAACAACAGTTAAATAAAATAAATATTTGTAAAAATGTAAATTTGTAATAATAATTCTTTGCAAAAATAACAATTTATAAAATAACAATTGGCGAAAATGACAATTTTATGAATTGCAATTAGCGATTAATCAAACTCTTTAAATTTGAACTTGAAATTCCAAATAGAATGCATCCCCGATTCAAATTAAACCAAGATGACATTAATCCTTCACTGTGCTATATAAATTTGGAGTTGGAAATTCCAAACTCAAGCTTGTTGATTTTTAATTTGACAGGACAAGTGAAATGTAGTATTCGAGAATCCAAATTGAACCAAGTAGATACTTGAACTTAATTTTTATATTTGGAAATGCAAGCTGATACTTGTAGTACGTGCGAACTTGGAAATACAAGTAGAAATGATAAGATTGGAAATCCATGTTAAAACAAGTCGAAACAAAAATTGAAGAGGACAATCCAAGATAGAACCATTTCAATTTTATCTTGGATATCCGTTTCAGTTACATAAATAGGATTTCCAAGTTAAAACCAGTAGAATTGCTACACGGAAAAGTTTTTCAATTTGGAAAGCAAGTTGACACCAGTAGATCCATGTTCAATTTCTACTAGTTTCAACTGGTTCTTTAATATAGGGAGGGGATAGTAGCAAACTTGTGACCACTTTAAACTTCCTCCTGATCAGTTGTGATAGATTTCTGACGAGATCCATCCAGAATCGTAAGAAAACTGGATTAAAGTGGTCAGGCGGCCTGACCATTTGTCTGACCATTCCTGATTTTATTTTTAGTAGGGTTGATAATTAATTTCATTAAATTTGAATAAATTGAGAAATGGGGTTAATTTGGAGCAAGTTACATACAAAACTTTGTTCAAAAGAAATAATTTGCGGTAGTATGCTCTGGCTCTAATGTATGATTGGCCCAAGTTTTCTTTTTCCCAATTCTTAATCCCGAAGACGTACTTTTGAAATTCTACTCAAGTGTCGACATGAAATAACTACAAAGTTCATATATGGAAGCCTACAAATCGATATGAACCTACCAACCCCTGGATTTCTGATTTGGAGAAGTTAAATCTGAGGGTACGGTCCCATGATGAGCAGAAAACAGAATGCAAAGCAGAATTTCGTTAGTGCAAGAGAGATAGTCAGATATCACTATCCTTTCCACTCTCACGAAATTCTGCTTTGCATTGTGTTTTCTGCTCATCATGGGACCCTACCCTAACTCACATCGCAACATAAAGCTCAAATAACAATAACGTTTATTAATCTTTATTCTTCTGATTAGGGAGCGTTCACAAATTACGTAACGCTAATTTTTGAAAATTTTGACCCCCCCCCTCCCCCCGTGTAACACAATGTTACATACATTAGCGCCATTTTTTCTGCTGTACATAACAAATAGCTAGACCCCCCCCCCTCCCCTTTATAATGTTACGTAATTTGTGAACGCTCCCTTACGCAGTATAGTTCTGACAGTTGGCACAGCCTAAAGTCATTTAAGAAGAAGAAGAAGAAGAGTGCGCGTCATAGCGAGCATGCGCATTCGGACTAAAATGAACACAAGACGGAGAGCATCTCCGTCTCGTCTGACAACAAATTTGTAGAGTTCTAATCTTGCGCTTGACTAGAAAGGTTCTTGTCGTCCAAGTTCCTTAGTCAGCTTGATTAAAACAAAGTATTTTAATAAACCTAAAGGGTTTTACCTTCGAAAGGAGACAAATATATTATCTTCTTTCGAACGGGTTTCCCTTCCGTTGTACGGAATTTAATCTTGTTTTATTTAAATTATCCCGCTTCCTTTTTAAAGGATTTAACCAAGTCGAATCCGGCCAATCAATCACTTTTGTTAGAGTTGCGTATTAATCGGTAACTCGGCGCGTAACAACAGGCCGATTTTTGGCGGCAATTCAAAAAAAAATTATTAATTAATTATTAAATATTAATTATTATTAAGTTTGCTTAATATTAATAAATAATTAATAAATATTTATAAATAATAGAAATAATATCATCTTTTTTTTAAATTGCCGCCAAAAATCGGCCTGTTCCGACTACAGCGCCTAGTCAAATCTTTGCCATCGCATTCATATGAAAATGTACAGGAGTGTCATAGGGCTGCGAAAAAACAATTGTAACTTTACTTTTTTTATATTATACTTAATTAAATAAATAAACAAACGTAAACATAATTGTAACTTTACTCTTTTTTAGATTATACTTTATTAAATAAATACGAAAAAATATTATTAGTCCAAAGTAAATTATTATTAATTAAATTCATAAAATTTTAAATTTAATTTTCCCCAAATTCCAAAGCATAGTATAATTTTAAAAAATTATTTAAATAACTGAATGTAAAAAATAAAAAAATTTTCCAAGTTATTTAATTATTTCTCAAATAAATAAATACGATATTTTCTACTGTAAGAAGTAATTTTATTTCATTCAGAATATAAAATAAGGTACATATTACTATATGTATATCTAATTTACAAATGAGTTTTGCATATCTCATAAAATTACAGTGGAGAAAGAAAGTGAATGAGATTTTATAAATTTCTATAGAAAATGTAATTTTACTAAATCGTAAATTTAACAAACAAAAAGAATTACAAAAAGAGAAATTTGAATAAATCTTTGAGATTAAAAGAAAATATGTTATTTAATAAAAAATTATTGATTTATTATATAAATCGATATATTAGAAAGAAATACAATACAGAGAAAAAATTTAGAAAAAACTTTGGAAAGAAAATTGGAAAAAGTTCTTGGATACATTTACTTTCAAAATTATAACGTTGACATATTTTAACACGTAACTAATAATGTAATTATAGTTTTTTTTGGCAGTAAGTGTTTTAAAGAATTTGCAAAAACGAAAAAAGATAAATTACGCCTTAATTTTGTCAGCTAATGAGCAACTAAGTCCTGTGTTATCTGGCTCGACGTTTAATTCCTTTACAACACCATCTTCAACAACCATTGAATAACGTTTACTTCTTTTTCCGCCCAACGGAGGAAGATCCACTGACAATTCTAGAGCGTCTGTGAAAGCTGCCGATGGATCAGCGAGCATTCGTACCTTCAAATAATATTATTAATAAATAAATATTATTAATAAATAAATTATATTTTTTACCTTTCCTTCTGCCCCTTGATCTTTTCCCCAAGCAGCCATGACGAAGGCGTCATTCACTCCGATACAATATATGTCTGCGATTCCCTTTGATTTTAATTCACTAGCTTTCTGCACGTAACCGGGCAAATGTGTCTGAAATTTAGAATTTCATTTCATTTTTCCCTGATTTCCAGACACAAATCTCTGACTCTAAAGAATATTTCAATTCATTTCAAAAATAATTAGATACACAGAAAAATGTTTGTAATACATTTATTTTTTAATATCTCTATAATCATAAATTACTCGGAACATCAACAATTTTTTTTTTTTTAATTAAATATTTAATCATTATTATTATTATTTTTCCACAGGAATTAAGATTTTAAAAAATTTCAATTCAATTATTTCTACAATTCTTAATTAAAATTCAACTCTAATTCAATTACTTTTAATAATTTTTGAAAAAGTTCCTTACAAGAATTCAATTATTTATTTAAAGAAAAAGAAGGTTTACCTTAAATATTTCTGAAAATTTTGTTAAAATTCTTCAAAACAATGAAATATTTTTATTTTTAACACTATTTTAATAAAATTTCTCTAAAAAATTCAATTGTGGCATTCCAGGAGAAATTTGCTACTTTTCGGAGCACCCTCACCGATTTCTTTCAAACTTGGTAGTATTACATTTATTGGTCTAAAGTTTCAGAAAATCAATTTTTTAAGTAAAATCAATTGAGGGGACGGATTCTAAAAGGGGATACGCGTGGATTGTCACGTATAACTATTGACCAATAGTGCGATTTTCAAACATTTTCAATTTTCAAATTTAATGACACAAATTTATACACAATGAAAATGCGCATCTTTTTTCTTTAAGAAATAAATTTATATCTTTTTTACTTTATGAAATAATAAGAAAAAACTAAATTTTTGAAAACCAAAAAATTTAAATGTTTTACGTCTTTAACTCGTGCTGGCGTTTTTGATTTTTCATATTTTGTAATCAAACAAAAACGAACTTACAGATTAAGACTTCCTGAAACCAACTATACTTTTAAAACTACAAAATCTTAATTAATAAAAAGTTTATTAATTTTTTCGAAAGACGTTGCAAAAAACGTGTTTTTCCAACTTTCAACGCTTCGTTTATCGAGGAAATTTTAAGGTACAAAAAACTTCCAGTGACAAAGTTTTTCATTACTATACGGACAAGTTTTCTGTAAAATTTTATTAACATGATATGAATGCTTACAAAGTTATTAATGTTTAAAGCGTATGGTGCGTCAGATTTCTCGCGCCTCGAACACATTGAGTCCCAAGGTGTTCGTTTGCAACGCGTTGAAAATGTGTTTGTCAATTAATATTGAATATTAATATTATTAATTAATATTCACAGTAAATAAAATTTAATAAAATTTATTTTTAACATAAATGTTTTATTTTGTTATATATAAAAAACTCAACTACAATAATATTTCTTGTATTTAACTTTCTTGTTTTATTTAGTTTAAGGCTTCCACTCTTTGTCAAAATGATCTCATTTACTACATTTCATGTTTTTAAAATAATTATTAAAAAACTCCTGTCCGTTTGGAGAAAGATATCGTACTTAACTTTTTACATCATTCATTTTGATTCAATTTTGAAAGCGGAAGGATTTTGTAATCTATAGTTTTCAAAAGTATTTATTCATGATTCTGGTAAATACTGAATTGCGTAGCTTTCACTGATTTTAACATTTTTCGGGATTATTACTTCTTGGTCCGGTTCTTGACCAAGATGGCCATAATGTTTTCTCAATTGTGATAAAAAAATCTCGAAATCCTGGGAAAATTGTATTGGGTTTTTCCGAACCCTTTTTTTTTGCAGTCAACGGTCGCGGCAGCCGCGACCCATCTGGATACCATATTTTACTTAGAATGAAAACAAATCACAAGTTTGAGGAAAATAGCATTTAAAAAAGGGTTACTTCCTCGAAAAGTGCACATGATAACCAAAAAAATTCTATTTTATGAAAATGTCTGACAAAATACAGATATAAATAAAATAAAAATACTTCCTCTATGAGAGAGCAATATGTTTTAACGACAATATAGAATATAGAAAATATAGAATTATTGTACAAATTATTTTGCAATATTTTTTAAAAAAATATTTCTTATATTATGTTTTTTACTTAGAATACATGTTAAAATAAATAAACTGATGCTACTTTTATATAAAGTTAGCCAAATCGTCATAATCTCATAGTTAAATATTATTTAAAAATAATTACTTTGATAGCAAAAAACTAGTCAATAACTAAAATTATAATATTTTTACTATTCTTAATCAACAATTATTAGTTTAATTAACATTAAATTTATGTCAAAATAACTATGCATTAATTATTTGTATGTCAGTCAATTTTAACTATCTTCAGACGATTTTTGCTAATTATTATTAGTTACTTTTTAATAATAAATAATCGTTTTTAACTAAACTGCGATTCCAAAAGTTATCTGTGACTTCATTAAAAATTGTATTTTTTGTAAGTAAACAAATGAATAAACTAAAATAGTCTTAATCTGTTACAAACGAACACCTTGGGACTCAATGTGTTCGAGGCGCGAGAAATCTGACGCACCATACGCTTTAAACATTAATAACTTTGTAAGCATTCATATCATGTTAATAAAATTTTACAGAAAACTTGTCCGTATAGTAATGAAAAACTTTGTCACTGGAAGTTTTTTGTACCTTAAAATTTCCTCGATAAACGAAGCGTTGAAAGTTGGAAAAACACATTTTTTGCAACGTCTTTCAAAAAAATTAATAAACTTTTTATTAATTAAGATTTTGTAGTTTTAAAAGTATAGTTGGTTTTAGGAAGTCTTAATCTGTAAGTTCGTTTTTGTTTGATTACAAAATATGAAAAATCAAAAACGCCAGCACGAGTTAAAGACGTAAAACATTTAAATTTTTTGGTTTTCAAAAATTTAGTTTTTTCTCATTATTTCATAAACTAAAAAAGATATAAATTTATTTCTTAAAGAAAAAAGATGCGCATTTTCATTCTCTACAAACTTCAGTAATTCAAATTGCAATTTGTAATAGTTTCAAAAATTGACCTAGTGGACAAAACTTAAACGCGTGAATCCACGCGTATCCCCTTTTAGAATCCGTCCCCTCAATTGTTTATTTAAAAGTTACAATTGCTCAAAATCGTTCAAATGCCCATATCTTTTAAACGGTACAAGATAATTGAGTTTACTTTTTTGCTAAAAATTCATAAAGACGAGACGCTTCAAAAATGTTATTAACATTTTTTCTTATTTTGTTAATTAAAAAAGTTATTTAAATAAATAAAATTAACTTTTGAGCCGGAATTCAAAATTAAATGACTTATGAACCAAAAAATTCCTTGTTTTTCACACTTTTATATTCCGAAGAAAAAAAGTGGTTTGAGTTTTTCAATCACTTATAATTTAAACAATGATTCGCTTGTTTACAATTATTTTCCAGCTAAATGATCATCTGTTCTCTCCTGCGCGCGACTACTGCTGCGTCACGTCGGTCTGTCGCAGAATATATTTTTGACAAGCGTGGAAAAATTGAGGTTATGATTAATCAAAACAACGCATTTAAATCTTTTTAAAGTTTTAGGATATCAGGATATCAATATCCTGATTTAACTTTTTTTCCATGACTGCTAAAAACTTTAAAAACATTGAAATGCGTTGTTTTGATTAAACATAACCTCAATTTTTCCACGCTTGTCAAAAATATATTCTGAGTCAGACGGACAAACAAGGAATTTTTTGGTTCGTAAGTCATTTGATTTTGAATTCCTGATCAAAAGTTAATATTATTAATTTAAATAACTTCTTTAATTAACAAAATAAGAAAAAATGTTAATAACATTTTTGAAGCGTCTCGTCTTTATGAATTTTTAGCAAAAAAGAAAACTCAATTATCTTGTACCGTTTAAAAGATATGGGCATTTGAACGATTTTGAGCAATTGTTGTAACTTTTAAATAAACAATTGATTTTACTTAAAAAATTGATTTTCTGAAACTTTAGACCAACAAATGTAATACTACCAAGTTTGAAAGAAATCGGTGAGGGTGCTCCGAAAAGTAGTAAATTTCTCCTGGAATGCCACGAACAATAATTTTAATAAAATTATTAATTACAATTATTAATAGACACGATTATTTTAAAAATTTAAAAGAAATTCTTCATGAAATTCAATTGCTTTCAAAATTTTCAATAAACATTATTTTAAAAAATCCATTATTTTCAAAAAATTCAAATAAATTTTTAAAAATAATTCAATTATTTCCAAAAATTTTAATAAATTCCTTGCCAAGAATTAAATTTATTTCTGCAAAAATTTTAAGAACATTCTTTGTAAGAATTCAATTATTTTCATAAATAATAACATTTTTTGCGAGAATTGAATTATGTATTTTCAATACAATTTTAATATAATTTCAATTATTTTCAAAAATCTTGATAAAATCCATCAAAGAAACTCATTTGTTTCTATCTTTTGAATATTTTTAAAGGCTGATCAAGAAAGTTTTTTTAATTCTTTTAATTCTTAATGAATTCTAGGAATTGAATATTTTTCCAGTACTGTTGGTAAAATTGCCTGACTTTCCCGATCAATTTTATTTTCCCTGATTTCCTGACCTGTGGCAACTCTGTTTAACTTCCAATCGATATTTTTGTTTATTTAATTTCTACTTCATTTCAATTGCCTTGAACATATAAACTTGCATAAAAAATTAATTGTGTGCATTTTGCATACGTACTTGCATGTAATAAAAACTAACAGCAAGGTCACTTATGCACAAGAGAAAATTTATTCTAAAAAGAATAATTAGCCGTTATAATAGGTAAAATGGAAATTAATTACATAAAAGAATTATAATTAGCAAGGAAAATATTAAAAAATTGATTTATAGATGTATTTCGCAACATAAAAATATTATTCTTTCAAGTTATTAATAAATTCTTAAAATTATACAACTTATAAGTACTTCTTAAGCACAAAAATATTTTCCACGAAAGACCGTATATTTTGTTAAATAAACAGATAAAAAAACTAAATGAATAGAAATGAAATAGAAATGCTGATTTTATCAATGAAAACAATTCTAAAAGAAAATACATTTTCTCACCTTGGAACATCCTGGAGTAAAAGCACCAGGAACAGCGAAAACAATAATCTTTTTACCGGCTCCTTCTTTCACCAAATTCACCTTATTTGCAGGCGAATTTTCGTACATGTCCACCGAAGGGATTTTGTCACCGACCTAACCCACAAAAAAGAGACTAAATTGAATCCGCATTTACCACATTTACAGTTAATTTGACGAATTAAGACAAATTACAATTGCAATTTAAATATTTCGATAAACTTACAGCAATAACCATGTTTCTTGGAGACACGTGAATTCCTCGTACGAAAGAAGTGATCGTTGTGCGTCCAGACGCAAAAATGGCGCGATTCATGAGTTGTTGACTCATATGTCCTTTGATCAATATAATATACCTGTTATGTTAATTTTTAAGTTACTTGTTTCTTTTTTTTATCTGCTAACAATAACGATTAAAAAAGTTAGATAATAACTTCCAATGCCGGCTGGTCTATTGCGCAATCATCAATTTTATTGCAGAAAAAATGTATTTATTATTATTTTTCCGGTGTTAGTTTTCTATTTATATTTAGAATCAATTGAATACATACAAAATTGTTTTTTTATATTAATAAGATGACGAAATGAGATAAATGCAATTTTTTTAGTTAAGGCTTAAGGGCATTTGAACCTTGATGACGTTACAGATTGTGCAAAGCATGTGTGACGTCATCAAGGTTCAAATGCCCTTAAATAATATTAGTGTTACGTGCGGAGTTACGTTATTTACGCGCAGGCGTAAAATCCGCGATTTGATTTGATGTTCAATCTTGGTTTAATCCTTTGAAAAGGAAGGCGGAAATATTCAAATAAAACAAGTTAATTTCCGTTAAAACGGAGGGAAAAACCTCACGAATAAGAAGGATTAATTAATAATTAATAATATTAATTAATCATTAATCCAACTAAATTCGCGAGTAAACCCAATACATTTATTAAAGTCAAAACATTACACAAGTCGATGTTATTCTTATAACTATTTTTGGGACTACTCTGAAGTACATTACGAAAGAACTCCAAAGTAGAACTGAATTCGTGAGGGAGCATTTATCCCTTGGTCCATGGCATAATCTTTGCGCATGCCCTGTTATAGAGTTTGTAAAGTCTATGAAGTTTTTAGAATCACCACACTAACACTGCACTGCACTAATACACGTATAAACATACTCTACTCTCTAAATCTGAATATGTGAAATTTCACTTATTGTACGTTATAAGTCGTCTTCTCGATCAATAAGTGCATATACACTTATAAATAAGTGAATTTTTCACTTATTCTGAGTGAAATTTCTATTTCTTATTATAAGTGTATATGCACTTATTGATCGAGAAGACGACTTATAACGTTCAAATATGTGAATTTTCACATATTCAGATTTAGAGAGTATGTATTGAAAACATGTATCACAACAAGTGAACATAATCCTTTTGCATTCACACTAATTACACAATTATTAATTATTTACATCATATCTAGTAACAATAAATCTCTTATACTGCACTCATCATATTTAAATATAAACAACAATTATAACGATAACCAATTTGATAATGTATCATAATATAATATTATTATTATATTAATACGTTACTAATATACACATATATACTATAATATTACAACAATAAATCAGATAAAGTTTACTAATAATATCATTTTCAAATAATACATTCATACTGCACAATTAGCAACAATATAATATTGTTGTTAATTATTCATAACGTTCATATTATACAATTGATAATTAAGGTTCGTCGCATAATGAAAGTCTATGTGTACGTGACTTTTCAAAGCCATTTCTGTGGTCACAAGTATGGTAAACACATGTTGCATTGTCCTATGGAAAAGGACACTTGAGATATTTTTTATATTCTTTCGAGGGTTTCTCGGTTTTATGACTCTAAAGAAACTAGAGATTACATTTTCTTTCGCTATTCTACTTGATTTATGGCAATTCTAAGAAATGTTGATTTTCAAATACATATTCAGAATTTGGAAACTATTAAACCGTGAAGTATTATATTTTACAATAGCCAAACTTTCTTGTTTAGTCTCGTCAATATTTGTCTAAAGTCGTGAGAAAATACTAAAAATAATTAAGTTTATTAACGAAATATTATAATTTCGCGCTTCGATAACTCGTGAATCGATATATCGAAAGTTAACGAGCGAGATGGTAGTCGCTCGTAACATTTGTGACGAGCGACTATTATCTCGCTCGAGTATTTCTCGATTAATCGAGATGTGTTTAAAATGTCGCGGCAAAATATAATATTAATTATATTTTGATTAAAGCCTTGAGATTGAATTGAACTTAGCATCGTATTTTTACAAATATACCTTCAAGTAAGAATGTGTTCAAAAAACATTCTTATGTTGAAAATACGAATGAAAAGAAGAATTAAGAAATAGCCTTAGGGATTTCCAAGCAATGTGTTCTTCTAATAAAATCATAAAACTTAGTCTAAGACTCAAAAACACATTTTCAGTAATAAGGAAATAGAATTTCTTGTCAACTAAAAAAACAACGTTTTCTAGAAATCCAATAGAGTTGTAAACCGTAGGTAAAGAAGGTGTCATAAAAATATGCGAACCAATTTCTTAAGATGACCCTTTTTAGGTAGAGCAATAAAATTACATCTGTCTGCAAAATTCGTTATATCCTTTTTCTCATGAAAAAGGCACGTTTTGGAAATTCCACATTTGGCATTTTTTCTGATAAATAAATATGAATTGATTTCATTTATAATTTCTATAATAATTAAAATATATATATATATGTATATATGTGCATGTATGATGTGCAGATGTATATATGCACATGAGTATGTTTACATATTAGAAATTATGTATATATTATATTATCTTCAAGTTATATTGTTTATGTATAATATAAATTGTAATGTAAGACACTTCACACATTTTAATGTGGTGTAATTGTAATTTAGATTCATTAATCATAATCGAACAATTTATTAGAAATATAGAAAAGTATGATGAGTGAATAGTATGTATAAGAGATACTCCTTTATGTGTGTATAGAATTCACAGTGTCGTGCCTTAAAAGTGTTAGTGTCTCGATGTTGAATACATATCCAACAAGAGTGCGCGTCATAGCGAGCATGCGCACTCAGACTAAAATGTACACAAGACGGAGAGCATCTCCGTCTCGTCTGACAACAAACTTGTAGAGTTCTAATCTTGCGCTTGACTAGAAAGGTTCTTGTCGTCAAGTTCCTTAGCCAGCTTGATTGAACAAAGTACTTCAATAAACTTAAAGGGTTTTACCTTCGAAAGGAGACAAATAAATTATCTTCTTTCGAACGGGTTTCCCTTCCGTTATACGGAATTTAATATTGTTTTATTTAAATTATCCCGCTTCCTTTTTAAAGGATTTAACCAAGTTGAATCCGGCCAATCAATCACTTTTGTTAGAGTTGCGTATTAAACGGTAACTCGGCGCGTAACATAAATTGGGGGCTCGTAACCGGCCCTTGGTGCGGGAATTCAAATTTGTGAAATTTAAATTTATTTTTCAAAGTTAAGTTCGCGAAGTGTCAAATTGAAAAATATAATTGTGAATAAAATTGAAAACTGAACTTCGTTCCGTGAAAAGTAAAAATATCTACATTTATTGTAGAGTAATTTTACTAACAACAAAACATATACTTTATTGAAATAAATTTCATTTTGTGTTATATTGATAAACAATACACAAGTCAATAAGAGTTATCATTAATCCTGATCTCTTAAAATTGGATAATCGCCCTTCGTGAATGAGTTCCTGATAACATCGAGTTCCTGATAAATTCATGTTCCTGTTTACATCGAGTTCCAGATGAATTTATGTTCCTGACTACATCTTGTTCCTGAGAGCTGTTCCACGTTGGAGAAAAGTGTTAAAAGTGTTTTTATGTGCGGGAGTGTCAAAATATGGTCATTTCCGTAAAATTACAAAAAAAAAAAAATAAATAAAATTTTTTTTTTACACTCAGTTACAGTGAAAGGATAAGATCCACAACAAAGGTTTGATTAGACGTAATTTTATAATTGGATAAAAATTTTGTAAAAGATTATTTCCTTGAATTTTAACGAATTTAATTGCAGTTTTTCGTTTCCACATTTTAACTTCTTGAGTTAACTAAAATTAATTTTAAAATTAATCAAGATCAATTTTCCTTCTCTTTTCATAACTCAATTAATTTAAATTAATTAAAATTTTAATTATGGAAAATAATCAACAAGGAAATAATCTTCCTCTCAACGAGGACATGGAGGAGGAATATCTTTACGAACAAGATCCGCAGAGAAATAGACTTCCTCCTTTCCTTGACGATACTGAGGATGATAATTCTCAGGGAGGCATGAATGAAAATGAATTGAATTTTGAAGATGTCCAGAATCATGATGCAATGGTTCAGATGGAAAATAGTATGAATGCTACATGTCAGGTTCAACAACCTCAGGGAATTTTATCAAAATTATGTCCTAACGACTTACTTCAAATCGCTGACATTGTAGGCCAACATTTACAAAGCCAAAAAATAGAGAGTTCTACAGAACCCTCAACACAAAAATCTAATACCCCGTCAATTGTAGATATACAATCTGTCACCCCCGGACATATAATAAACAATAATTTTTCGGCATTAAAAACCTTGGTAGATTTGTTGCCTGATTTCGATGGCGAAAATATACCGGTTAACAAGTTTATCAAGGAATGTCAAGAATTATCGGAGAGCATTGGACCACAGATGCATCAATTTCTGCTCAAGTTCGTGCAAAAAAAGATTACAGGGAAGGCCGAGGAGTTTATGTTAAATTCACAAGCAGAAACGCTTGGCCAACTCCTAAGTGAATTGGAAAGTTCATTTTCCTTTTCAGATGACTATTCTAGTATATATATAGATATTGCGAACTTGAGGCAGAATGAGACTGAGTCTGTGCATTCCTATGCAAGTAAAGCTCGAAAACTTCTTTATAAGCTTTCCGCATTGTCACGAAAAGATCACACACCTTCAACATTACACATTAAACTACTCGAAAATGACAATTACGTTTTGAAGTCTTTTATACAAGGGTTACTTCCAAACTTAGAGTTTCGGGTAAATGTACGTAGACCAGTAAATTTACAAAAAGCAATTGAAATTTCTTTAGAGGAAGAGCATTTTGTTTCAAGTATCCGTAAACGGAGTGCTCTCTCACGTGAAAAGGAGGAAAATTCCTCTGAAAACGAGGCAAAGAAAGCAAAAACAGTACATAATATTGATAAAAAAGAAAAATCGATTACTTGTTATACGTGCGGAAAAATAGGCCACACATCGCGTACTTGTCATTATCGAGCAAAATCTGACTCTTCCAGTCAACAACCACATAATAACAAAAATAACAAAACTCACAATCATAAACCACAATGCGATTTCTGTAAGAAAATAGGACATTCTATAGACAATTGCATTTTACGATTATTAAAAGAGTTAGAAAAATCTCGGTGATTAATTTCAACTTCTTGAAATAATAGCAAACAAAACACCGAACTCAAGATTGCTCCAATGCCAACATCGTTTGATTAAAAATATAATATACAATAAAATAATTGTGTTGGATTCCTTCTATGTTTTTAAATAAATTAAAAATAAATGATGAAGATGAATGGAAAAAATTTTCCAAAATATTTTTCAGATCTTTAATATGAAATATATATTAAAGGGAAGAAAATGTTGTGTTGGTGCGAATGCACATTCACGTAACCCAAGTGATTTATGAAGAAATTCTGTAAAGGGATCACAAATGACAGAACCTTAAATGACTAAGTTGATCCTCTAAAAATTAATCCTAATCAACAGCATAAGGTGACTAATACACCTGTGCTTCCTCATGATTCCTTGGACAAATTTAAAAGTGATGCCCTAACTGAGGCAGTTTTTCTAAATATTCATTGGAAAAGTTACACGAATGAATCAAAATTTTATTGATTACACTTAATTTTATGAGACGACTTCTTGTGAGAAATCCTTGACCACTGGCAAGGGGATTAGGGGACTAATCTCATTGACGCAAACAATGTCAATATGTGGACTGCAGCCACAAAACTTGGGACCCTGCAATGCGATTGCGGGACGGCCCTTGTTATCACAGAAAGATCTGTTGCTTTTGGCAACAGATTCGCTGGATGGTTCGCTGGACTCTCCCTGAAATCAGATCGAATTTTAATGAAAATAATTATATTTCCGATGACGATATTCACAGCAATCTTGAATTGGTAAAATACACACAATAACTTTAACAGACAAACCAGAGTATTTTTAATTTCCAAAATAAAGACAATTAAAATTAATTACAAAAATATTTAATCATACTTAACCATTAAACAAATAGTAAAAATATTTCAATAAGCTCATTATTTCTCGCTTCCTCTTTTGGGGGGAGGGTGACAGTTGAGCAACTATATCTTGCTCATTATTTTTACTATTTTGTTCCATAAATATATAGTTTTTAAACAATAATCTTGTTAACTTTGATTTCGTGTTTGATCCTGCGATGTTTATGTTTTGAAAATCATAACCTCGAATACTAAACACAAAATACACACCTACACTGATCAGCTGAGTCTTTATGCTTCTCTCACAAGCAACAGCCTTAAGCCAACAAACTCTTTAGCCTTATACACAGGTACAAAATCTCGCGACAAAATGCGATAAATTTCTTGTATATAATAAATGTAAATAATAATAAAAATATATATTCATATATCTATTATATATTTTTATTATAGTTGAACTAACTATTTTTGTAGTCCAAATAAGTGACAGTTGTGTATTAACAAGCGACATTTTCATTAAGGGGAAAGGTGTGACGAGCGACTATTATCTCGCTCGAGTATTTCTCGATTAATCGAGATGTGTTTAAAATGTCGCGGCAAAATATAATATTAATTATATTTTGATTAAAGCCTTGAGATTGAATTGAACTTAGCATCGTATTTTTACAAATATACCTTCAAGTAAGAATGTGTTCAAAAAACATTCTTATGTTGAAAATACGAATGAAAAGAAGAATTAAGAAATAGCCTTAGGGATTTCCAAGCAATGTGTTCTTCTAATAAAATCATAAAACTTAGTCTAAGACTCAAAAACACATTTTCAGTAATAAGGAAATAGAATTTCTTGTCAACTAAAAAAACAACGTTTTCTAGAAATCCAATAGAGTTGTAAACCGTAGGTAAAGAAGGTGTCATAAAAATATGCGAACCAATTTCTTAAGATGACCCTTTTTAGGTAGAGCAATAAAATTACATCTGTCTGCAAAATTCGTTATATCCTTTTTCTCATGAAAAAGGCACGTTTTGGAAATTCCACATTTGGCATTTTTTCTGATAAATAAATATGAATTGATTTCATTTATAATTTCTATAATAATTAAAATATATATATATATGTATATATGTGCATGTATGATGTGCAGATGTATATATGCACATGAGTATGTTTACATATTAGAAATTATGTATATATTATATTATCTTCAAGTTATATTGTTTATGTATAATATAAATTGTAATGTAAGACACTTCACACATTTTAATGTGGTGTAATTGTAATTTAGATTCATTAATCATAATCGAACAATTTATTAGAAATATAGAAAAGTATGATGAGTGAATAGTATGTATAAGAGATACTCCTTTATGTGTGTATAGAATTCACAGTGTCGTGCCTTAAAAGTGTTAGTGTCTCGATGTTGAATACATATCCAACAAGAGTGCGCGTCATAGCGAGCATGCGCACTCAGACTAAAATGTACACAAGACGGAGAGCATCTCCGTCTCGTCTGACAACAAACTTGTAGAGTTCTAATCTTGCGCTTGACTAGAAAGGTTCTTGTCGTCAAGTTCCTTAGCCAGCTTGATTGAACAAAGTACTTCAATAAACTTAAAGGGTTTTACCTTCGAAAGGAGACAAATAAATTATCTTCTTTCGAACGGGTTTCCCTTCCGTTATACGGAATTTAATATTGTTTTATTTAAATTATCCCGCTTCCTTTTTAAAGGATTTAACCAAGTTGAATCCGGCCAATCAATCACTTTTGTTAGAGTTGCGTATTAAACGGTAACTCGGCGCGTAACACATTAGTGTAACGAGCGCGTAAGATTCGCGAGCTCGCCGTTAAAAACAGCACTATCGAGGGAGATGAAAGCGCGGTAAACTTTCGAATAATAAAATATGTATATGATATTAATAAATTAAACTAATTAAATAATATGATTGGCAAACAGTTACGCGTTGGACAATTTGACTAGAAAAAATATATATATATATATATATAGATTACAATATGTCTTTTCTCTCTTCGTTTTTTCTTACAAAAACGAAAATCAGAGAAAATAGGGAAAACCAATTTTTATCTCATCTCTCGAATTTGTTATTTTAGGCTAGTTAGAAGGAATGGTATGAAATCGGTGGGTTGCAAATCCCTTTATGACTTTATAGAAATTGAAATCAGACTAGAAGGCAATAAATAGAGTAAAAACCCAAACCCTGCAGTAAAAGTAATAAAACTAAAAATAACATAGCAATGCTCAATCTCGTATCGCCCCTTTTTGCAAACAAAAGCCTAAACATCTGGGTCTCATAAAATTGAACTTAGCCTTTTTTGCTAAAAAGAGTCACGTAAAAACTATAAAATGTCAAAGAAGAGAATTGCAACCTATCCAAGCGATTATTAAATTGAAACTTGATGAGTACTACATCAATTTTAAAATTGAACTTTTGAATTAACATCCTTAATTAATTTAAATCTAATATTTTATCATTGCTTTTCAATATATATAACTCAACATTAGTAAAACAAATTTGACAAATGTAATCCTTTATAAATCATAAACATTTTTGCAACGACGACTATTTTCACATAAGTGTATAGATTAGTCAACTTCATAATTAAATATAATAAACTTTTAGAATTTTTAAGAATGATAATTGAATTAAACGATTGTTGTAAGTACGATGTATGAGTGTTGATAGTGAGATTTCTTAAAAGAAATACAAAAGGTCTTTTACATTTTAATTCAACGAGAGATAGAGATAGCGATAGGGACAAAGATAGAGATAAAGAAACGAAAGCTAATATCCTTATAAATTTAATTAATAGAGACCTATTTTTAATTATTGTAAAATGTTTAAGTTTAATTTCTTTTTCAATATCTCTATTAATAATTATACTTATGATATTGCAAACGATTCCAAAAACATTGAGTCGGCTCGAACCAGGCAAATTTCCAACCTGGATGGCGCGCGCATACCTAGAGCAGGAAAGTAGAAGTACCTGGGCCCGCTTGAGCGGCCAGTTTACTCAGAAGGAATTTGGGACTTGTCGCGAACGGTTGTACGAAGTTGTAATTATATGCTAATTCAGCTTGAAGTAGAGAAAATAAATTGTTTTCTTATGTAAAACCCAAATTACTTGACTTTTTAATTGCTTTTTGCCTTTTTGCTTTTGATTTCTCTATTTTTCTTGAAGTTTCGGTATAAAATTTAAAGATTATTCGATTCGACGTTGGCACCGAATTTCTATTCGAAGAGGATCTCATCGATGGGTTGGGTTTCTATACCCTTAATTGTGAACGAATCCAATTTCTTTAGGAACTTTTAAATATTCCAAAGTTTCGCGCCAATAAATTGAGTTGCGCGTTACAGGAAAATTTTGGTGTCAGAAGTGGGATTCTCACAAACCCGCCGGTTTTGAAATAAGTGAAATCCGTGATCGTGAACTTTTGGTGCGTGAGAAAACGTCGGTCGGTCTAAATTAAATAAATTTCAAAAGTTAACTTCAGTGACAAGTGGGAAATAAAAGTTGAAAAGAGACATTTTGCTTCTCAAACCGCCTTTTTAGTAAAGGTGAATTTAGTAACTTAGAACGAAAGGTTACCAAGTGTGCGAGAGCAAGAGAAGAAGACGAGTTCGAGCAGTGGCGGAAAATAATAAATTCCAGCAGCAGGCGAAGAAGAAGACGAGTTCGAGCAGTGGCGGAAAATAATAATAAATTCCAGCAGCAGGCGAAGAAGTAGACGAGTTCGAGCAGTGGCAAAAAAAAATAAATAAATAAATATAAGTTCCAGCAGTAGGCGAAGAAGAAAACGAGTTCGAGCAGTGGCAAAAAAAAATAAAAATAAGTTCCAGCAGCAGGCGAAGAAGAAGACGACATCGAGTGGTAGCAGAAGAAGAAGACGAGGTACGACAGGAGCATTGCCGCGATAACTCCTCAAGGTTTTTGGGCGGTTTTTAGACCTGGAGGCTAGGGTGTTTTTTTTATACACCAGTATCGCAGACAGTGGTTTTGAGATCCGCCAGTTATCCCTCTGACCACTGCAGGCAACCTTGGATATCCAGTCAACAACTTGTGTGCGCAAAAGGGAATAATATCCGAAGAGCTGATTCGCGAGTGTAGTGCTGTGAAAAAGAAAATAAATTGTTAAATACAGTTATTTTCTCCCTGAAGGGGATAATTTTAGTGTCAAAGTGCCGATCTTATAATCAGCTGTCTTCAAGACCATCAAAGTAGTAAGTCAATTGTCCAAAAAAAAAAATAAATTTTGTTAAATTGTTTGCCAATCTTTTAGATAAATTTAAAAAGAAAAGAAATAATAATAAATAATAATTTACCCTTTTTTGAATTATTGAGATTTATTTGCAATAAATAATTGTTTATTTCTCCGCAAAAATCCATTAAAATGAATACTCGTAGTGCTGTCCGTAGAGGAGGAGAAGGCCGTCGAGGCGGCAATTCCGCCAACGCGAATAGGGGTGAAAATTCAAACGCGAATGTTGTAATAGAAAGAGCAAAACGGGGACGAAAACCAACGGGTAGAGTCGCGAATAAAACCGCAATTAACAAACGGGGAAGAGTTCGAAGAGTTAGCTCTCGAACTGTAGGAAGTAATGAAAATTATGTCGAAAATGATAACCAATTTGAACCTGTGGACGAGAGTAATGAAGATATCGATTTTGAATACAGTGAAAATTCAAATTATCACGCGAATAATCTTGTAATTCAGCAGCGAACCCCTATTTTACCGCGTGTTAGTCATACACCGGTGCATGTCGGTAGCAGTATTTCAGGCGCAAGTACGTCAAAGTCGGGATTGTTAACGCTGCCTCTAAAGGATCCTGAGAATCCAATTTCTCTTAAAGAAGCCTTGGGATTTCTTCCGAACAGTTTTGATGGGCAATCGATGCCAGTCGGCCAATTTATAAAGGGTTGCATCTCCGCGCGTAATTTAATGGCATCGAAAGATAGAAACCACTTATTTTTGATGGTCCTCTCGCGAGTTGTCGGGAATGCGTTCTATTCTCTCCAGGACAGGGACATTAATTCTTTAGAAGAATTATTACTGCATTTAAAAAACACTTTTACAGAACATCGGAATTCCAGTCAACTACATTCCGCTCTTGCTACGGTCGCTCAGCTTGAGGAGGAAAGTGTAGTATCATACGGGTCTCGCGTGAGAAGAATATTAGCAAGTTTAGTCGAATTAATAGAGGATCAAAATACAAACGAGGCCGCTCACTACATGGTGCAGTCGGCCCGCACCACGGCCCGCGAAAATTTCATTATGGGATTAAAGCGAGACCTCGTGTGGCGAGTAAGGGTGGGAAGACCTGGATCCTTGGACGATGCCGTGAATCTCGCGAAACAAGCCGAATGGGAAGTCGAACACGAGCAGAAGTTAGACAGACGGGCACCTGAAAGCAAAAGCGATGCTAAAGAAAAATCAGATGAAGGGAGAAATAAAATGAGCGGCAATAATCAAAATCGACATCACCCTTACGATAAAAACGGTCGCATTAGAAAACTCGATGGGCATCGTGGCGGTCAACGTGGTAGAGGGGGAGGGAATCGTAATCAACCTCCGAACTCGGGAAACAGGGATAACTCCGCAACGTCAAATAACAATTGTTATAGATGCGGTGAATCGGGTCACCTAGCGCGAGGATGTGTACGCACAGTTAACGACAATAAAGCTTGTTTCAACTGCAACGAAACTGGCCATGTTGCTCGCGATTGCAATAAAGCACCACAAAAAAAACGCGAGTGCTTTATTTGCAAAAGTCCTGACCATATTGTACACAATTGTCCCTTATTGAATAACGGAAATGCAAATAAAAATAAATTGTCCTGCACTTTCTGTAAAAAGAATGGTCATTTACAGGAGAAATGTTTTCTTCGCTTAAGAAAGGTTTACGAAAATCGGGAACAAAAGAAGGACGATTTAAACGAGGAATAAGCTCACTTGACTGGTGCACAAGCGAGCTTCGGGAAAACACTGCGCCTATCCGACGAACAATATTAGCTTTCGAATCGAGCGGGAAAGTACCGACACCCCACATTAATTTAAAAAGTAACAATCTAAAAAACGGAAGCGCTAATTTCATTATCGATACGGGAGCTGAACTAAATTTGATTAAACATAGACTGGTAGATAAAATAACAGCGATTAACTCAAGGGTTAAGTATGATTTATTTGGCATCACAACCGAAGGAGTTCAAACCCTTGGCGAGGTTCGCATCCAAATAAATGGCGTCAATTGTTTTTTTCAGGTAGTTCCAAACAACTTTCCCATTAGCGGCCATGGAATGGTTGGCATGCCGTTTCTCGGTAACTCTGTAATAAACCTACAAACAAACAAAGTTTATCATCAATCAGGCACTTTTAATTTCTCCACCCCACTTAAGAGAACTACCTTAATATTAAAAGCAAGGACGAAACAAGTAGTTTCCTTACCGGTGACGAACGTCGACTTATCAGAGGGATATTTGCCCTTGATACCAGCTGGCCCTGAAGTTTTTCTGGGACAATCTTTGGTAACTGTAGAGAACGGGAAAGCCCTTACTTATTGTGTTAATACCGGCACCAGGGACGTCGAACTTTCAATTCCACCAATTAGTCTAGAAGAAATAGAAAATATTAGTTTCACTCCAAAACCCGATATAAACAATAAGCAAGATGAAAAGGTTAGGTGTGAGGGAGAGAAAGATTCAGTAGATCGATATAAAAAACTAATAAATGAACTTTACTTAGATAATTTGAACAAGGAAGAAAAAGAGAGCCTTTTAAAATCAATAGTAAAATTTCCCTATCAATTTTTTTTAAAGGGGGATAAACTCGGTTGTACTAACGTCTTACAGCATAAAATTAACACTTCCGATGATATTCCGGTTAACAAAGGAAATTATAGGTATCCCCAGATCCACAAAGAGGTTATTGAAACGGAAACAAATAATTTAAAGGGTTATGACGCGATTTCCCCTTCAAAATCTTCTTATAATTCACCAGTCTGGGTTGTTCCCAAAAAGCCTGATTCACAGGGCAATAAAAGGTGGAGAATGGTGATCGACTACCGCGGACTTAATGAAAAAACTACCGGGGACGCTTATCCCTTGCCAAATATAACTGATATTCTCGATCAATTGGGAGGAGCTAAATATTTTAGTGTGCTCGATCTCGCGTCCGGTTTCCACCAAATTGAAATTGACTCGGCGGATAGACACAAAACAGCCTTTTCCACCCTATACGGGTTATACGAATTTAATCGTATGCCTTTTGGGTTAAAAACTGCCCCCGCAACGTTTCAAAGATTAATGGATCGGGTTCTATCGGGTCTCCAAGGCGTAGAAATGTTTGTTTACATGGACGACATTGTTATTTATTCTAAATCTATCCAAGAGCACAGCGAGAAACTAGAAAAATTACTAGGCCGTTTAAAAACTGCGCGTCTCACTCTACAACCGGATAAATGTAGATTTTTGTGCAAAGAAATCGGATATCTCGGTCACATTATTTCAGCAGAGGGAGTGAAACCCGATCCCAAAAAATTGGACGCCGTCAAAAATTTCCCACAACCAAAGAATCGCAAAAATATTAAACAATTTTTAGGCCTAGCAAATTACTACAGGAGATTTATCCCGAAATTTGCCCAAATCGCGAAGCCCTTAACATTGCTTTTAAAGAAAGACGCGCCTTTTAAATGGACTCAAAATACGGATAGTTCTTTTGAGACCCTAAAATCAATTCTTTGCTCTCAACCAATTTTACAGTATCCGGACTTCTCTAAACCTTTTGTTATTACTACCGACGCATCCGACTATGCCCTTGGTGCTATCCTTAGTCAAGGAGAAGTTGGTAAGGATTTACCTATCGCGTATGCCTCTCGAACACTCAACAAAGCCGAATTGAACTACAACACTACGGAAAAAGAGCTTCTTGCCATAATTTTCGCGGTAAAAATTTTCAGGCCATATATATTTGGCCAAAAATTCACATTAGTAACCGACCATCGCTCCTTAGTTTGGCTTGATCAATTAAAAGACCCCACGGTTAGTTCGAGACTAGCGCGCTGGAAAATAAAATTGCTCGAATGCGATTATAAGATAATATACAAACCGGGTAGGGTAAATTCGAACGCAGATGCCCTCTCGCGCAATCCCGTAACTTCTAAGACTGACGATAAGTGTGACAAGAGTAATTTAGACACAAAACTTGACTCAATAGATGAAAATGGACAGATTGTTTATAGCGAGTTTCCTATAGAAAAAGCATGTATCAGCACGTATATTGCCAATCACCAGGGCAAAAATCGAGTTGACGAGACGAACGATACAGTACTTCGCGAGAAAAGGGGGAAACAGGTAGCAAAATCTAATTTTGATCGTCACGGGACTCTTCAGGATTGTGGGATGATAGAAGGAACAGATGCATATGTTTCAAAAGAGCGCGAATCGTTTTGTTTAATAACAGCAGTGGTCGGTTCACTCAAAGGCCTAGAGGAATTTTCGACCACTAGCTGCGACAAAACTGATTCGCGAAACTCGCCCCACTCTAATGAACGAGGCTCTGGTGTCGATGAAAATGAATTCCAGTGTGATTTGGAAAAAGAGGAAGTACCCGGTGGACCAATTGTTTGGTCACGCGGGGATTCTTTGAGAGAATCCGTAGTACAGTGTGATAAAGAACCCGGTCTATCAATTGTTTGGTCTCGCGGGGATAATGTTGAAAGGCTACCTGTTGAACGAGTTTGCAAGAGAACTCGTATTTCCCCTGAAACTCCATGTGAATACAATGACGAGACAGACGACGATATTTTAAATGAAAACGAAAAGGTAAAATTGATAGGGATGTGGGGAAACTGTTTATCGATGTTAAAAAAGGGGCGGGACACTGACAAAAACGAAATTTCAGATGATGATGGACAACCTGCAAAAAGAATCAAATTAAACGAAAGTAAAATCACAGAAAAGGGAACCGTACTTCACAATAATAGCGAGAAAGGAAATTCGGTACTTACTCCTTTGTTCCAACTAAGTAAAGACAAGTTATGGATGCGTGACGATAACATTGTAAATTTCGTTTCATGCGACGGCATTCTTACCACTCCTTTAGGTCGAGAATTAATAGAGAACTCCGTCATCACCTCCTCGTGTCTGAAAGACCCAGAAGCAATTATAGGTTATGTAACATCGAACAATCAAGGCGGACGATTAGTATTTAACTTATACATCAAAGAAAAATTCGATTCTGCAGTCTACGCGAAAAATATTGAAATTGCCGTTAACACATTGAAAGAGGCACTTAATTTGTCGAAATTAACAAGTTTCAGTATATCTCGTACTGGAAATGGTTTCGACAAATTATCGTGGTCAACGATCGAACAAATTTTTCGTGCTCACTTCGGTAAAGGTAACTATCAAATCACGGTTTGTACAGGGGAAATAGAAATTCCGGAAATTGAAAAAAGAAGCGAAATACTTAAAGAATGTCACGATTCAACTACCGGTGGCCATAAAGGCGAGACTAAAACTTTAGAGCGGATAAGAGAGCGATTTTATTGGAAAAATATGAGGGACGAGGTTAGAAAATACGTAAAAACATGCGAAATATGTCAGAAAAGAAAATTAACACGCGTAAAAACCAAGATGCCAATGAAAATAACCGATACACCTATCAGAGCGTTTGAAAAGGTTCAAATTGACATAGTTGGGCCCTTACCTACAACAGAATCCGGGAACGCGTATATGTTGACTTGGCAGGATAACCTGAGTAAATACTCAGGCGCTGTCCCACTCTCGAAGATAGATTCCTCTCACCTCGCTGTAGCATTAGTCGAAGGATTGATCTGTATATTCGGTTGTCCGGAAACAATCCATACAGACCAAGGTTCTCAATTCATGAGCAACATCATGGACAATATCGCAAAATTATTCAAGATCCGCAAAATTCGTTCGACCGCTTATCACCCGCAATCCCTCGGTTCCCTGGAAAGAAGCCATCATACGTTAGTAGAATACTTACGTTCGTACGCCGAGCGTTCCGATTGGGACCGATGGTTGCCATATGCAATATTTTCTTTTAACACCCAAGTCCATGAATCCACGGGTTTAACACCCCACGAAATCGTGTTCGGAAGGAAAGCTCGTTTTCCATCTGAATTTGCCGATGAAAAGGTCCCTTTAACGTACATTCAATTAGTAGACGAACTCCTGAACAGAATAATTGAAACAGAGTCCCTTGCGACAGCCCGCCTTGAAGCGGCAAAGGTGCGCTGTAAAAAGTATTACGACAGAAAAATTAATGAACGCGTATTCGAAGTAGGACAATATGTTTATGTTCTTGTAGAAATTAGGCATGACAAATTCGATGATCATTATTCAGGTCCCTTTAAAATCACACGCGTAATAGATAACCTTAATGTCGAAGTACAAATTACACCAAAACAAACGAAAATCATTCACGTAAATAGAATTAAAAATGCATTTTTAAGATACGTCTAAAGTTTGCTCTAGAAAAATATATGCATGCATATGTATATAAAAGAGAGCAAAATTTAGAACGTTCAAAACAAAATTTACAAGCAAGTGAGGTTATGAACATGTTCAAAAAAAAGGGAATTACAGCACACGGAAATATATATATATATTTTATGTACATACCTTTCTTTTCAAGAGAAATAAAAATCCGATTTCTCAATCCACTATTACCTCATCTTATCGTGTTTTAAATAATAACAAAATCTCTAAATTTTTACTTTGTTATTGTGTTCTCCAGTATATTTTTGTCGAACAGCTGTCAACCGTAATCAACCACGAAACACATGCAACATAGATTTGAAGTACTGTGCCCTTTCGCTTAAGGAGCACCCACAACGACGCTTAAATAAATGGTGCCACATTCTCTTTTTCAAAAACATAAGACAATCATTTGCGAATAAAGCCTTGAACTAGAATTAATTATTATTATTAACATTACTATTATTTAATTTTGAAAAAGACACATCCGAAGATGTGCCTTTTTATTAAGGGGAGAAGTGTAACGAGCGCGTAAGATTCGCGAGCTCGCCGTTAAAAACAGCACTATCGAGGGAGATGAAAGCGCGGTAAACTTTCGAATAATAAAATATGTATATGATATTAATAAATTAAACTAATTAAATAATATGATTGGCAAACAGTTACGCGTTGGACAATTTGACTAGAAAAAATATATATATATATATATAGATTACAATATGTCTTTTCTCTCTTCGTTTTTTCTTACAAAAACGAAAATCAGAGAAAATAGGGAAAACCAATTTTTATCTCATCTCTCGAATTTGTTATTTTAGGCTAGTTAGAAGGAATGGTATGAAATCGGTGGGTTGCAAATCCCTTTATGACTTTATAGAAATTGAAATCAGACTAGAAGGCAATAAATAGAGTAAAAACCCAAACCCTGCAGTAAAAGTAATAAAACTAAAAATAACATAGCAATGCTCAATCTCGTATCGCCCCTTTTTGCAAACAAAAGCCTAAACATCTGGGTCTCATAAAATTGAACTTAGCCTTTTTTGCTAAAAAGAGTCACGTAAAAACTATAAAATGTCAAAGAAGAGAATTGCAACCTATCCAAGCGATTATTAAATTGAAACTTGATGAGTACTACATCAATTTTAAAATTGAACTTTTGAATTAACATCCTTAATTAATTTAAATCTAATATTTTATCATTGCTTTTCAATATATATAACTCAACATTAGTAAAACAAATTTGACAAATGTAATCCTTTATAAATCATAAACATTTTTGCAACGACGACTATTTTCACATAAGTGTATAGATTAGTCAACTTCATAATTAAATATAATAAACTTTTAGAATTTTTAAGAATGATAATTGAATTAAACGATTGTTGTAAGTACGATGTATGAGTGTTGATAGTGAGATTTCTTAAAAGAAATACAAAAGGTCTTTTACATTTTAATTCAACGAGAGATAGAGATAGCGATAGGGACAAAGATAGAGATAAAGAAACGAAAGCTAATATCCTTATAAATTTAATTAATAGAGACCTATTTTTAATTATTGTAAAATGTTTAAGTTTAATTTCTTTTTCAATATCTCTATTAATAATTATACTTATGATATTGCAAACGATTCCAAAAACATTGAGTCGGCTCGAACCAGGCAAATTTCCAACCTGGATGGCGCGCGCATACCTAGAGCAGGAAAGTAGAAGTACCTGGGCCCGCTTGAGCGGCCAGTTTACTCAGAAGGAATTTGGGACTTGTCGCGAACGGTTGTACGAAGTTGTAATTATATGCTAATTCAGCTTGAAGTAGAGAAAATAAATTGTTTTCTTATGTAAAACCCAAATTACTTGACTTTTTAATTGCTTTTTGCCTTTTTGCTTTTGATTTCTCTATTTTTCTTGAAGTTTCGGTATAAAATTTAAAGATTATTCGATTCGACGTTGGCACCGAATTTCTATTCGAAGAGGATCTCATCGATGGGTTGGGTTTCTATACCCTTAATTGTGAACGAATCCAATTTCTTTAGGAACTTTTAAATATTCCAAAGTTTCGCGCCAATAAATTGAGTTGCGCGTTACATTAGAATCGGGTGAGCGACATCTGTCGGAGAAATGTTATCAACGGATAATAATTACAGTAAAGGCCTAAGCACAACTGGTTCGGTTTCGGAATATGTAAAGGCCAACGCAGAATAGATCTGTAACCGGAACCGCAATCGTGAGCGTACCTTAAGGCCAACGCAGAATAGATCTGTAACCGGAACCGCAATCGTAAGCGTAACCGTAAGAATGAGTTAAAGAAGGATAGGTATATTGTTTATCCTTCTCTAACTCATTCTTACGCTTACGGTTACGATTGCGGTTCCGGTTACAGATCTATTCTGCGTTGGCCTTTAAGAATGAGTTAAAGAAGGATAGGTATATTGTTTATCCTTCTCTAACTCATTCTTACGGTTACGCTTACGATTGCGGTTCCGGTTACAGATCTATTCTGCGTTGGCCTTAAGATTTACATATATTTTGAGGTTAGGAAGCCCATATCCCGAAACCGTCTCCCGAAACGGCAACGCAGAATAGATCTGTAACCGGAACCGCAATCGTAAGCGTAACCGTAAGAATGAGTTAAAGAAGGATAGGTATATTGTTTATCCTTCTCTAACTCATTCTTACGCTTACGGTTAAGATTGCGGTTCCGGTTACAGATCTATTCTGCGTTGGCCTTAACCGAACCAGTTGTGCTTAGGCCATAACCCAGGCGGCACGAGGTGAACTAAAAGTCATCGAAAAGTTAACCTAGAAAGTTAACTGTGAGGCTGCGGTTAGGCCGCAGTCCCATGGCAGCGTTTTGCGTTGCGTTGTAATGAGAGAGAATGCAGCAAACGTATATTTGCGTCTTTTTCTCTCCCATTACGACGCAACGCAAAACGCTGTCATGGGACTCCACCCTGAAAACGTATGTAATTTAAGGCCAACGCAGAATAGATCTGTAACCGGAACCGCAATCGTAAGCGTAACCGTAAGAATGAGTTAAAGAAGGATAGGTATATTGTTTATTCTTCTCTAACTCATTCTTACGCTTACGGTTACGATGCGGTTCCGGTTACATATCTATTCTGCGTTGGCCTTTACATGGAGAATTATTGTACATGCGCATCCCTGGCCGTCACACTCCGTTAAGTTACTTACATGTAAATACCGTAATTACCAAGAATTCTTAAAATATGTTACGTATGTTACGTTACGTACATTTCCCTGCAAACACGTGTTTTTTTCCCTTCATGTTTATATCAATTTATTTGGTTCATTTTAATCATTTATATTAGTTTATACTTGAAATATTTCTAAAAATGAGTAAATTTTAATATAAATTTAAAAGCATATATGTATTTAATTGGTTTAATTAATCAAAGAAGAGTAATTGTTTTAATGTAAATATAAATTCCACTTCGTTACTTTTTATAACATAACCTATAAATTTTGCATTTTTAAAACTAAAAACTATATATTTATTTTTATTTAATTTAATTATAACAATTAACAATTTTTAAAATAGTTTTACACCTTTTGATTTTTTAATAAAAAATTGTAATTCAGCTTTGTTTATTTATATTACCAAATTTTCTTTTAAATTTATAAGTGTACATTTTAGAAATTAAGAATTGTTAATATAATAAATTTTTAATTTTCTAATTATAATTTTTTTATTTTAAATTTTAATGTTTATTAATGTATTAATTATTAAATGTTCTTTTTTTTCTTATATTTAGATTTGCAGATAAAGTAATAAAACTGTTAATAAACATGGGCGTTAAGGAAAATTTAAAAAGAAGATCAACAGAGATCGAAATATCGAAAAGTTTGTTTGTTATTTACTAAATTTTTATCAGTTTTCTCCTATATTTTCCTTTTTTTATTTTTATTAATATGTAGATTTATTTTTTAATTAAATTTTACTTTTAATGGTATTCTTTTTCATATAATGTTTCTTGAAATAAATTTGTTTTAGTAGAAAAGAGAAAGATAAGAAGAAATGAAAATTCAATAACAAATAATGTAAGGAAAAAATCAAAAATAGAGAATATTGAAGATTGTAGCGTAAGTTGTAAGTATGCAAGTTTTGATTTACAAAATTTACAATTTTAATGAACATAATGAATTAAAAATAGTCTATATTTAAGTTAATATAAATTAAATTAAAATTCATTACTATTTTATTTTCAGATGATGTTAAAAATTATGAAACATCGAAATTTTCATCCCTGCAAGATAAAATCTCGCAAAATACATTAAGAGCAATTGAAAATATGGGATTTAAGACAATGGAAAAAATAGTGGAACGTTGCATTTTAAAAATTCTCCAGGGTGAAAATCTCGTGACAACAATAAAAACAAAGTCAACATCAAATTTATCTTTTCTAATTCCTGCTATTGAATTAATAAATAAATTAAGTTCCAAATTACAAAAAGGTAACTTATAAATTTTTGTGTGACATCACTTCTTATTATTATGCAAATTACAAAAGTTTTTATTTTTAAATACCAACTTTAATTTTTCAATAATTTCAGATTTAAAATTAAAAGAATTCACTTATTAACAATTTAATTACTTAATTATTATTGTATTAAAAAATGTAATACAAGAAATTAATTGAGGGCGTGGAACGGATAACTGCCTATAGTCCCTTTCGACCATGCGTTGCAGGCAGTTCTCCGTTCCACGCCCTCAATTATTTCCATAAATTATAAAATTATTTTCAATATAATTTTAATTGAATTTAATTATTTTTAAAAATTTTAATAAAACTTTTCAAAACAAATTAATTATTTACAAAATTTAAATAAATTTGTATTGAAAATAATTCAATTTTCAAAAAGAAATTTAATTAAAATTGTACTATTGAAAGTCATTTATTCTCCCGAAGAATTTATCTAAAAATGTACCTATATTAAATTCGTTAAAATAATTGAATTTCTGAGAATTTTATTAAAATTTTTTAAAATTCTAATATTTTACAGTACATAATGATAAATTGTTCAATTAAAGTTTATTATTATTATATTAAAAAGTGTAAAAATATAAGAAAAAAATGACAGTGAAAGATAATTAATAATGATAAATTAGTTGAAATCAAAATTTCTTAAAATTTCTTTTTCTTCTAATAATTTTTCATAATGGGTAAGACTCCGTCAGAAAAATTACAATTTGCATGGGGTCTACGGATTATTCTGTAATTTGGTGAAGTTGTTATATTTGATAACAAAAATAAGTGTACCAAAGGATTTTTAAAAATTTGTAAAATTGTAAAAGTTACGCCATTTTGAATTTTTTTATAAGATTTTTTTCAAATATGAATATTTCCGAAACAATTTAACGGATTTTAATAAAATTTAAATGTTATACTTAAAATCATGTCCTTTCAGAATTTTTCAAAAAAAAAAAAAAATTTTTGATTTTTTCAAAAAAAAGTAAAAAAAATTTTTTGAATCGATTTATTAAGCACGAGACCGATTTTTGAGTATTTTTCGACATATAATAAAATATTCCTTATAATTTCACCTTTCATTTACAAAAAAGAAAACGATGGAGACTTTAATAGTTTTCGAGATATTGCAATTTTTGTGGAAGCGCGACCACGTTTCAGTGCCAGGACAGTATCTTTTACCCGGGACGCCTCACAATGGGATTTTTTACACATAACTCTTCAAAATTGTCTAGAGCCTACAAATTTTATTGGATTTTGATGTTCTTGGTCTTAAATCAAAGGGGATAAAATTTCTAAAAGATCCCTTTAAACCGATTTTTGAATTTTTATAATATTAATAATAATACAGTTTATTTAAATTGTTAAGAAAAACAATTTAAATTAACAAATAGATAACTTTGGTCTCTTTTTTTAAAAATTGTTTTTTTTGTAGACAAATTTATGTTTATTTAAGTAATGTATGTCTATTTTGTAAAAAAATGATTTGAAAGTTAACAATTATCATTGTTATTAATAATTATATAACCAATAATCTATTTTCTTTTGCATTTATAAACATTTCCAGCATTTTTTAAACTTAAAATGTTTATATCATATGTACATTCTTTCAAAAACTTAAAAAATTTACTTATTGATTGTAAAACAATTTTACTTAACAAATAGATAACATTGGTCTTTTTAAAAAAATTGTTTTTTTGTATAATTTTATATTTATTTAAGTAATTCATGTCTATGTTGTAAAAAAAATGATTTTAAAGTTAATAATTAATTATCATTGTTGATATTAACAATACTCAAGTTATCGATATTTAAGTAGAGCTTTAAAATGTTAAACTCGTTCAAAAAGGTTCTATTTTTTTGCAGAAATAAGCCATTTATTTGTTTATAAAGTTAATAATTTCTTTATAACAAATGTAATTGTTTAAGCTAATAAATTTTTAAAGTTTTTTAAAGAATGTACATATGATATAAATATTTAAAGTTTAAAAAATTACGAAAATGTTTATAAATGCAAAAGAAAATAGATTATTGGTTATATAATTATTAATAACAATGATAATTGTTAACTTTTAAATCATTTTTTACAAAATAGACATACATTACTTAAATAAACATAAATTTGTCTACCAAAAAAACAATTTAAAAAAAAAAGACCAAAGTTATCTATTTGTTAATTTTAATTGTTTTTTTTAACAATTTAAATAAACTGTATTATGCATTATTATTTGTCAGGTGGTCAAACTAGACTAATTTAAATTGATTTCGATCTTGTGCAATGGAAAAATAATAAATAAACAGTATTTTTTACAAAAATATTGTAAATTGTTAACTTTGAGTAACAAAAAAATAAATAAACAATTAAAAAATTCAAAAATCTGTTTGAAGGGATCTCTTAGAAATTTTATCCCCTTTGATTTAAAAACAAGAACATCAAAATCCAATAAAATTTGTAGGCTCTAGACAATTTTGAAGAGTTATGTGTAAAAAATCCCATTGTGAGGCGTCCCGGGTAAAAGATACTGCCCTGGCACTGAAACGTGGTCGCGCTTCCACAAAAATTGCAATATCTCGAAAACTATTAAAGTCTCCATCGTTTTCTTTTTTGTAAATGAAAGGTGAAATTATAAGAAATATTTTATTATATATCGAAAAATACTCAAAAATCGGTCCCGTGCTTACTAAATCGATTCAAAAAAATTTTTTTTACTTTTTTTTTGAAAAAAACAAAAATTTTTTTTTCTTTTGAAAAATTCTGAAAGGACATGATTTTAAGTATAAATTAAATTATAAAATATAATATAATTATATAATATAATAATAATATAATATAATATAATATAATATAATATAATATAATATAATATAATATAATATAATATATATATATATATATATATATATATATATATATATATATATATATATATATATATATATATATATATATATATATATATATATATAATATTATTATATAATTATATTATTAAATTTTATTAAAATCCGTTAAATTGTTTCGGAAATATTCATATTTGAAAAAAATCTTATAAAAAAATTCAAAATGGCGTAACTTTTACAATTTTACAAATTTTTAAAAATCCTTTGGTACACTTATTTTTGTTATCAAATATAACAACTTCACCAAATTACAGAATAATCCGTAGACCCCATGCAAATTGTAATTTTTCTGACGAAGTCTTACCCTAATTCTAAACAATAATCAGCCCAATAAATTGTGAAATTGTTCAATTTTTGAAACATTTTTTCTTATTCATTTTCTTAAATAAATTATTAATAAAATGAAGTGAAACATTTAGTTATAATAATAAAAATAAAATTTTGTGTTTATTTGCTTTAAATTAAAATTTAATTATTGTTTCTTTAAATCTCTTTTCAGGAACTGGATGCATTATAGTAACATCAACACGCGAATCAGCATTACAAGTTTTTGGCACTTTGAAAGAATTATTACAATTTTATCAATTTACAAGCTGCTTATTAATTGATGGTTCCGATCAAAAAACTGAGTCACGAAAATTATCGAAAGGTGTTAATTTTATTGTCGCCACTGCTTCAAGATTATTTCATCATTTACAAAATACTCCCGATTTTGTGTACAAAAATTTACAAATTCTTATTTTTGACGAAACTGATCGTATTCTACAAACTGGAAATGAAGAAACATTAAAGCAAATTATTCCGTTTCTACCAGGTCTGTATTTCTATTTTTCAATTTTTTAATCTTGTCTTAATTGTTTTTTATATGTTCTTATTTAATTTTAATAATTGTTAATTGACAATTGTTTCGTGAAAATTCAAATAATTGTTAATTTTATTTTTAGAAAAGAGGCAAACTGCCATTTTCATGAAAGAAAAGATTAATATTGAAAAATTCGAATTGTCAATAAACAAAAAGCCAATTGTCTTGAACCAAGTTGAGAGAGAAGAGAAAATTGTTGATGGTTTAGAGGAAGGATACATTATTGCACCAAGTGATAAACGTTTTCATTTTCTCTTAAATTTCCTCGAGAAAAATAAGAAGAAGAAAATTATAGTTTTGTTCAGTTCTTGTCTGTCGACAATACATCATCACGATCTGTTTACTTCATTAGATGTTCCAGTTTCCAGCATTCACGTAAAAATTTTTTATTCTTTTTTTATTAATTACAATTATGTGGAAAAAATAAATTTTTAAATTTCATTAGAAAAATATTTCTAGGGGAAGCAGAAACAAGTGAAGCGAAGAGAAATTTTTTCCAAATTCTCCTCTGCTTCTTCGGGAATTTTACTCTGCGCTGAAGCTACTACAACGGAAGTTGTTTTTCCGAAAGTTGATTGGATCCTGCAATACGATCCACCGGAAAATCCAAAGGTTCTTTTCACTTGAACTTCAATCCCTAATTTCTATTTTTTTATCTCTTTTAATATTATAAATTCAGTTTTTTATTTATTATTTCCTCCATTCGAAAATTGTTAACTTTAATTCTTTTATTATTCTTTTTAATTATTAGCTTGTTAAATTAGTTAATTGTTAATTTTCATATTCTCCAGGAACATATTAATCGGCTTTCTGAAATGAGCAAGGAATCGAAAGGAAAGGCAGTTTTAATTTTAAGCCCGGAAGAAATTGGCTTTCTGTCCTATTTGAAGGAAGTTGGAGTTTCTACTTCGGAGTTTAAGATCTCTTGGAATAAAATAAAAAACGTTCAAGTCTCGGTAAAAAATATTAGAAAATTTCTCCTTTTTATTTCTTTCAATTTTTTGTTCAAAAAATGAAAATAAATAAGAATATAAAATTTTATTCTAGTTAGAGAAGTTGATGGCGGAAAACTACTTTCTAAATTTATCAGGAAAAGAAGCATTTAAAGCTTTTGTCAAATCGTACGACTCGCATCATCTCAAGAAAATTTTTAATATAGAAAGACTAGATTTGACCAAAGTGGCAAAGTCTTTTGGTTTCACCGTTCCACCGGCTGTCGATTTAAGTATCCTTTTTAACAATAATTTTAAATCTTTCTATTGAATACATTTTCTCTAACGCCTGCTCTGAAAGGAGTACTTTTCTTGTTAGAAAAGTGTAGCGACAGTAGAACTTTTCTCAACTCCTCTGAAGAGCGTGGAGAAAGTAAATCATAACCTGACAGAGTTGCTACAATGTCTGGAAACCTGGAAAACCTGGAAATGTCAAGGAATTTTATTTTGTATGGAAAAGTCAGGGAATAGTCAGGGAAAAATGAGAAAACACCTGGAAAATAATTTTCTGTTAAAATTATGTTAATTTTTGGCAAATTTTACCGAATTTTACCATGAAAAAGTACCCTTCGGTACTTTTTTCCCTACACTATCTAAAACTGAATCAGTAAAATTTGACTGATTTTCAGTGACTCTATTCTCGCGATTTGAATCAGTGAAATTTCACTGAAGATCAATTAAAAATGATTGAAATTTCAGTCATATTTCACTGATTGGCCAATTAAAAAATAACTGAAATTTTAAATATTCGTGACTGAAATTTCCAGTAACTTTTTAATTGGCCAATCAGTGAAAAATGACTGTTAACTGGTCTACTAACCGGGAAAAACCGGAAATATGACAGGAATTTTATGTCAAACCCGAAGAATTTTTTCACCAAATTAAACAAAATTTTTATTATTTTAATTTGTTTTTAAAAAATCGATTTTTATTTCAATTTTTATAGATATTTATACTGTTCTCTAAATTTGAATTAATTAAAAATAATTTATTTGATAATAAAAAATCAGTCACTGATTTAAACAAAGTTTGTAAATAAATTTTTAATTAATTATTTTTGAATTGATTGAAAAATTTCTTTACGTTTAATTTTATTTATTGAAAATAATTTAATTTCTTTTAAAAAATTTTATATAAATTATATTATTACGTTATTATTCAATAATTATGATTATTAAACTTCTCTTAAATTTTTATAATTTTAAATTTCTGAATGATCAAATAAATGATATTTATTTATTTCTTGAGCAAATGAAATTTTTATTACACAGGATAAAATCAGTCTGACTCCGTTTACACTTTAAATTCAACCTCGAAATTAGGCTGAATGTAAGACTTTTTATTTATTTATTCACTAATTAATTATTTTTATTTATTTACTTATTACATAAATAATTAATGGATGTACTTCCGATTAGCGGTTACCTCCGATTCTTCTACAAATTGGTATACTTACGTAATTTTGTGCCCTGATTACGAAAATCATAGTGAAAATTGTTGCAAATTAGAATTTTATGGTAAAAACCATAAAAAACAGCATAAAATTGTGTTTTTTGCGTATAATTCGCAAAAAACGCAAAATTTTGCAAAATGTTCTTTACAAAAGTTTTAGATCTGACCAAAGTACACATTTTTTGTTTCTATCATTATTTGCTAAAATCTGTTATTTTGCGAGAAAAATGGAAAAAACCATGAAATACCATAAAAACCATGGTTAAAATGAACTTTCACTTAGAAAGACATACAATTGTAACAAAATAAAGATTCTTTACGTAACTTTGTGCCCTGATTACGAAAATCATAGTAAAAATTGGCGCAAATTAAAATTTTATGGTAAAAACCATAAAAACACCATAAAATTGTGTTTTTTGCGTATAATTAGCAAAAAACGCAAAATTTTGCAAAAGGTTGTTAACAAAAGTTTTAGATCTGACCAAAATACACATTTTTTGTTGTTATCATTATTTGCTAAAATCTGTTATTTTGCGAGAAAAATGTAAAAAACCATAAAATACCATAACAACTAATCAGAAAGATATTTCCTTTATAATATGAGTACTTATGCGTTTTTATGTGCCTAATGTGAATATGGTGATAATAATGATCATGATAATGATTGTGGCCTTGAAAAAGGCCGATTGGTTTAACTTTTTCAAGTTATATGGTTTGGTGGCCTTGAAAAAGGCCGATTGGTTTAACTTTTTCACCAAATAGAAAGTCAATTTGACTCCCTTTCTGTATTCAGGAAGTAAAAAAACATGAGCTTAGGCGGGCTTCGCCCGCCTTTGTAGTGTTCGCTCCAGTGGCCCTTTAAAGAGCTTTTTTAAAGGTCACGTTGTAGGGGGATTGGGTCTGGTTTCGGTACCTTCTAGTACCAAATACAAAGTCAATTTGACTCCCTTTTTGTATTCAGGAAGTAAGAGAACATGAGCTAAGGCGGGCTTCGCCCGCCTTCGTCATGATCGCTCCAGGGGCCCTTTAAACAGCTGTTTTAAAGGTCACGTTGTAGGGGGATTGGGTCTGGATTCGGTACCTTCTGGTACCAAATAGAAAGTCAATTTGACTCCCTTTCTGTATTTAGGAAGTAAAAGAACATGAGCTAAGGCGGGCTTCGCCCGCCTTCGTAGTGTTCGCTCCAGTGGCCCTTTAAAGAGCTTTTTTAAAGGTCACGTTGTAGGGGGATTGGGTCTGGTTTCGGTACCTTCTAGTACCAAATACAAAGTCAATTTGACTCCCTTTTTGTATTCAGGAAGTAAGGGAACATTTTGCGTTTTCTGCGAGTTATACGGAAAAAACACAATTTTATGGTCTTTTTTATGGTTTTGTACCTTAAAATTCGAATTTTCGCCAATTTTAACAATCATTTTCGTAATTAGCGCATCAAAATACGTAAAGAAACCTTATTTTGTTACAATTGTATGTCTTTCTAAGTGAAAGTTTATTTTAACCATGGTTTTTATGGTATTTCATGGTTTTTACATTTTTGTCGCAAAATAACAGATTTTAACAAATAATGATAACAACAAAAAATGTGTATATTGGTCAGATCTAAAACATTTGTTAACAACATTTGGTGAAAAAGTTAAACCAATCGGCCTTTTTCAAGGCCACCAAACCATATAACTTGAAAAAGTTAAACCAATCGGCCTTTTTCAAGGCCACGAAACCATATAACTTAAAAAGGTTAAACCAGTCGGCCTTTTTCAAGGCCACGAAACCATATAACTTGAAAAAGTTAAACCAATCGGCCTTTTTCAAGGCCACAATCATTATCATGATCATTATTATCACCATATTCATATTAGGCACATAAAATCGCATAAGTACTCATATTATAAAGGAAATATCTTTCTGATTAGTTGTTATGGTATTTTATGGTTTTTTACATTTTTCTCGCAAAATAACAGATTTTAGCAAATAATGATAACAACAAAAAATGTGTATTTTGGTCAGATCAAAAACTTTTGTTAACAACATTTTGCAAAATTTTGCGTTTTTGCTAATTATACGCAAAAAACACAATTTTATGCTGTTTTTTTTATGTTTTTTACCATAAAATTCTAATTTGGGCTAATTTTCACTATGATTTTCGTAATCAGGGCACAAAATTACGTAAGTATACCAAGTTGTAGAATAATCGGAGGTAACCGCTAATCGGAAGTACACCACCCTAATTAATTATTAGGTACTGCTTATAGTATTGTTAAAAATTTTAATAAAATTCTTCGCAAGAATTAAATTATATTCATAAATAATAGCATTCTTTGGAAGGATTTAATTACTTTCATAAAAAATATAGTCAAATTCTTGCAGAAAATCAATTATTATCAATATAATTTTAATAAAATTTTCAATTATTATTATAAACAGACAAGATTATTTTTTAAAAATGTTAAAAAAATTCTTTGTCTAACTTAATTATTTTCTAAATTTTCAATTAAAATTATTAAAAAAACATTATTCTCAAAAATTTCAAGAAATTCCTCAAAAGAATTTAATTATTCATAAAAAATAAAAAAAATTTTTAAAGCTATTTGTAGATTTAAATAATAAACACCCTGAAAACCATAAAATTTTGAAATATTTTATTTTTGCCAATGAAAAAATGTTTAAAACTGAATTATTTTTCTAGAAGTGATTAATATAACAATAAAATATGCTATGTTTGCATAAATTTTGCTTTTTAATTATTTACTTTTTATATAAATCACACTTATAATGTGTATGGAAAAATATTGTTTGAGACCTGGAAAACCTGGAAAAGTCAGGGAATTTCATTCGAGAAAAATTGTAGCAACCCTGCCTAATTTTTTTTTCCTGGTTTTTTGACCGAGATATGTATATTTTGTGTCTAACTTCTTCCCCACTCAAAACATTTGTCTTTTACTATATTAAACATAAGCACACGTTAAATTAAAATTATACGAAACTCACGAAGAAACCTTTCCTCGCAAGGTGTTGGAGACTTCGTAATGCACAACTCGTGGTGAAAGAATGATTTTTCTCGAGTGATTGCTGCTCTCAAGCCGCAAACTTCACTCTCGAAAAATCACACTTTCGCCACTAGTTGTGCAATGTACTATTTCGCCTTTGCTTCGATTTTTATTTTATCTTTTTCCTTAACAATGATTTTTGTAACAAAAGGCATTAATAAACAGGAATTTGACAAAAGTGCAAGACCAGAAAAACGATTAGGCGGAGGTGGATATGGATTTTTCAAAACCATGAATCGTATGGGTGAGAAAAAAGGACAAAACAAAATCTTCAAACAAGTTGGAAAACGAAAAAAACTTTCCAAGAGTGCTAGTTAAGTTTTCTCCTTAATTTTAGTTTTTGAAAATTAAATTGATTTTTAAAATTCTTTCTATAATCTTAGATTAGAATAAATTTAGTTGATTAAATAATAACATAGATTTTTTTGTAATTTAATAGTTTCTAATGTTTTCTTTCTTCTCCGGGATCTTTCACATAATTAAATAAAAGAAACTTCATTTAAACACTGTGTCTAATATTATAAAATTATTATAAAATAATTTCCTATTAATAATATACAAACTTACTTACTCTTTTTACAATTTATCGCAGTAAACTTTTTTCTCAATTTAATTTTTATTAATAAACGTACTGTTTAGAGAGAGCTCTTAAAAATTTGGCCTTTCGGGTGTTTGCCGCTTCTCTCTGAATCTCCTCGTTATTATTCGAATTCAGTTCCAGTAAACCGATCACCTTAATCTATAAAATAAATAAGTAGATTATAACTATATTAATATTAATTTGTTGTGAAATGATGAACTTACCGCCAATTGTTTGCGGTGATGTTCTCCTCTTTTGGTGTGCAAATAAATAAGATACTCGAGAATTGTCGTGTCCCAAATGCAGTGATAATAAGCGTCCATCGCGTCAGCGGGAGCGCAACTTTTTTGATCACTCGCTGCCATTTTAAAAGCAAGAGCATAATCGACATCCTCTAAAAATTGACAAAGAACAGCCGCCTGAGTGTAGCATTGTAAATGCGCGCAACATTTGATCATTCTTCTGTAAACGAAATCTTCAATTTGGGCCCGTGGCACTGGTTGCGAGAACAAATCGCTCGAAACTATTATCGCTTTCAAATAATACTTCATGGCACTCTCGTGGAATCCTAGAACTGAGAAAAAATATTTTTTTTAATAAATACTTTCGCAAATAAATTAATTATTCAACTACACTGAAAGAATTTTAGGCAGGCTGCTGGCTTTTCATGTCCGAAATTAGTGCCCCTTGCACAGGGCTCGCAGCTCACCTCAAAAAAGCGAGCATCTACTCCCGAAAGGTGAGCAGCTGCCCCTGAGGAGTTGCTGCTTATATACCTTTCGGGAGTAGATTCTCGCCTTTTTGAGGTTAACTGCGAGCTTGAGGCAGCGAGCTCTAGCGGCACTCATGTAAAGCCTGCAGCCTGCCCAAAATTCTTTCCGTGTACGTTTATTGACGAATTTTATTTATTATGTAATGTAATTTAATAAAATTATTAATTTAATTTAAAACTAGCGACATATACCTCACTCGCTAACGCTCGTTCGGTTGTATTTAAACTTATTTGTTTTTACTTATTTATTTTTATTTATTTGAACTAAGTAAATATTTACTGCACTGAAAAAAAAGTATTTAACCAAGAAAATTTTTCTTGATTGAAGCAAATCGTGGGATTGAATACGGCCAAGACTATTACAGTATTGATTCAAGAAAACGATTTTCTTGATATAGTATATTTGGGAGAAGAACATATATTCTTGATCCAAGAAAATATGGAAAATATAGAAGTTAATCGACTTGTACGAAATATAAAATGTATTAAATGAATAAAATATTTTCTTGTTCTAAGAATATATATAGTCAATTGAATTATTTTATTCATTCAATTTTTTGTAACGTTCGTTCAAGCAATTCAAGATTTAGATGAAGAAAACATTTATTTTGTAAGAAGAACAGAAAAAAAACCGAGAAAATATTTTCTTGATTTGAGAAAATTTATAGATTTCAATTAAAAAAATATTTTCTTAATACAAGTAAATTATTTACTTGAATTACCCCCCCCTTACCCCATCCCATCTTTTCTAATACTTAGGTCAAACATTTTTATTATTTAATTAATTAACATTTTTATATTTTTTTTAATAATTAAATAATTGTTATTTTACATATATATTTACATTTAATTAATACTTAACACAAATACAACAAATATACCTTAAAAGAAAATTTTCCACGGTCGGAGGAATTGAACCCGGGTTGCACGCACCAAAAGCCGTCACGCTACCACTATGCCATCCTACCTCAATGAACAGTTTTAAAAAACTGATATTTAAGTTGCATAACCATTTGAAGAAAAATATTTTCTTGGATCAAGAACACCGGCATTGTGTTAAGTAAAAAAAAGAAAGCAAATAAATAAAATGATTCGATTCAAGAAACATGAATTCTCCAGGCAATACTTTATTATTTCGCTTAAGGTCATGTTATTCAGTGGTCACGTGTTCCCATAGTAAAGTATAATGTGACGCTCCACGAGAAAAGGGACCTTATGACTTACAGACGAATTTTGCAGGAGAGGCATTTAAAGTGGAACCACTCTGATTGGTCAAGACGTTTCATTGAAAGTCAGTCCCACTACTCACTTCACATTGATAGTTATCCATGTTACACGAAGCGCATGAGTTGTACGTACATAACCTGTGTAGTTGTGTTAGAAAGTAGAGGGGCTGATTTTCTAAACAACCGGGTGTAAACACTCAAAAGGTTCATTTTTAAACATTGATAACAAAAAAACCTGTAAGTAGAAATTATTTTTGCCTTTTGTATATGAAAGAGCAACTCAAAAAGTACGGAATGATATAAATAACTCAAAATTAATTTTTTTGCAGCTAAGGTCCCTTTTCTCGTGGAGCCTCACATATGGAGCTCGTGACCACTAAATAACATGACAGATTCAATACTTTTTAGTACTTCGGATAAGTAAAATATTTGGTTGATATAATAACATATTTAGTTCCGCCAAATACTGAATTGTTAATTCAAGAATTCTGTTCAATGCTATGAATAATTACTTGACGGGCAGTTCCATACGAAAAGCAAATGGTAGATCACCGATTTTTCTTAAAGTTTGTAATTTTGTAGTACTTGGGGTACTAAATAACTGTGCCAAACAGTTTTGCAAAAAATAATTTTTTTTGCAAGATATTTAGATTTGAAAAATCGGAAACTGAAAAAATGACTTTTTTTGAGAATTTTTATTTCGAAACTATTGATTCTACAAGAAAAAGTCATTTATTCAAAATTGTAGAAAAAATGTCAATTTTTTATAATATTAAAAAAAAGTTAAGAAAAATTAATTTTTCAATAATTTGTTTAAACAATAATTTTTTATTGTTAAAAAAAGCAAAGTACATCATCGAATTTTTTAGAAAAATTATTTTCTCAAAATTTGAGCCTTCCTTAATAAGTGGTTAAATTTTTAAAGAAGTGATTTTTGATGTTTTTGAGAAAAAAATTTTGAAGTTTTGCGCTACGAGTTTTTGTGCGTTGCGATAACTAAGCAGCGCCTATATCAGTGTATTTTAAAAGATGATATGGGTACACTGAGAGACCTTTGGGACTGTAGCGGAACAACGTATGTGACAGCAGCTCCACTATGGTTTTGGGTTGCTGCGGTACAATTTTGGGCGCGTGACAGTCCAAAATGTTGGTGAACTGCTCACCGAAGTAGTGGGGATGCCGCCTTTGGTTTGCAGCAAAACAAGTTTTGGACTATCACGCGCCCAAAATTGTACCGTAGCAACCCAAAAGTATAGTCCTGTAGTGTTCCACCAAAATGGTCAGTAGCAGCCTATCGAAAATCTGCTGCCGACCCAAAGGTCTCTCACACGGAAAAAATTAATTTAGTACATTTTACGAAACTAATTTTGGAATAGCGGATACGGAGAGGAGTTTAGTATAAGATAAAACAGAATCAATAGTAATATATGATGACTGCGTTTCTCGAAAACTCAAAAAAAATTCTATGGAATTCACAAATGATCGGTTGGACGTTCTAATTCAAGAGTTTTGTAAAATGTTTAGCCTGAAGCGCATGCGCCACGGAAAAAAATATTCACGGAGAAAAAAACGAATAAAGCAGAAAAAAGAATTTCTTAATGTACCAATGAGCTCTCAAGACCATTTTTTATCGTCTTCTATAGGAGATAGATGATTGGTTCGACACATGTGACCACATGTGACTGCACTCTACAACGTAATGGTTCGCTTGGATTGGCTTATTTTATTCTGACACTAACTTAACGAAAATACGCATACATATAAACGAATTCTGACGCAACGCACATACAATATAACTCGCACTTGTAAATGAAAGAATTGAGTTTCTTTATATACTAACTGAGGAGATTAAAACTGCGCTTGTGAGAAATGTCAATATACTGAATATTAATTTTTAAAAAAATTATTTTTTTAAAAGTTATACAAAATATTTTATAGTTTTTAAAATAACATTTTTAATTATAATTGGTTATAAAATCTCTATAAAATTTTTCAATTTTTAAAAAATAATTTTTTTCTTAATTTTAAATTATAAATAAATTGCAAAAAAATTTTCAAAATTAAATTCAAACTCAAAAAATTTTAATATTAAATTGTCTAAAATCTGAACTAATAACAGTTAAAACTAATAAAAATTAGAATTAAAATTTTGAGAAATTAATATATATATGTATATATATTGTCATCGGTAAATATTATGATTAGCTATAAAATTTATTGGAATGTAAATTAAAAGAAATTAATAATAATTAAAAGTTTGGATTACAAAATCACATAAAAAATGTTACGAATTTGGAACAATGAAATGTGAAATACGTAAAAGAAAACAATTATCCAAATGTTACCGGCAGGTAAAGCAGTTCTCTTTTTCCTTCCACATGATCTCTATATACAGCAGACAAGTTAATACCGACGCGACGAGACAAGCTTTAACATATCTATTTATAACGCGACTTTTGGTACACCCCGTATAGAATTTTACGAAACTCTGTGTTCGAGAATTCACGATAGACAGCGAAGTGAAAACTCAAACCACGCGTTTTTAGATTGCACGAAACATTTTTACCATTTTCTGATAAAATGTTCATCAAAAAATACGAAACATTTCTACATTCAAGCTTGTTTTAGAAATTACAACACTGGTTGCAGGAATCTTAAATATCCGCTAGTGCGAAATTAGTTTCGTAAAATTTGCTGAACTTATTTTTTCCGTGTGGTAAAATTTCGTCTAAAGTAAAGATTTCAAATTTGCTTATGTTAGATTTATTTTTTTAATATCATCAACGATAATTTGAAGAAAAAAAACTGTTTATTACTCAGAAGACAATATTTTACACTTGGAAAGTTTTCAATTTTAACTTTTTGTTCAAGAAATATTGTATAACTTGTTTTATAAATCTAACACAAGGAAATTTGAATTCTCTGCTTTAGACGAAATTTTACCAGTTTCAATAAAAATCCATAACAAAAATTTTAATTTAAAGAAAATTTTTTTACTGTGAACTTTTTACTTATTTAACAAAAAAATTTTTTATTTACTTACAAATTTAGTCGAAAATTAAAACAAAATAACTATATAAACACTAACAAAGTAAGATTTATTTAATTGAAAATAAATTACATTTCTTAAAAATACCTGAATAAAAAAATTATTTTTACATATTATTGTCAATAATATAAACAATAATGTGGTAAAATAATAATATACTAATGATCTATACTAATCTATCTATACTAATATACTTATTAATAAAATAATAAATATACTAATAATCTTAAATTTTAGATACTTATTCTGTATTTCAGTTTTTAAGAATACTTGGTGTTCGTGGTGAGTGTGCAATGAACTTATGGAGCTCCACGTCAAGCCGCGACGCACGAAACAACGCGACCGCGCTCACAAAAAAAATTCACAGTTAATAAACTATTTCGATCTACCAACTTTTTCTTTCAGTTATTTAATCCTTGATTTATATAGTTTAAGGATCTGAAAAATATTTTCACGAAAAAGGTCCAGAACACAATTAATTATTCATTTGTTTATTATTAACAATTATTTTTTACAATAAATAATTT